ACTAACAGCAAGAAATGGATAAGGCTTAATAGAACCCCCTTTCCCTCATCAGATCAGGCACAAAACTTGACTATGGGAAAACGTGCGACACCAGATGCTATGGACGTGGATCTGGTGTCCATAGTGGAAAAACGTCCAAAAGCGGTCTCGAACTCGATTATGGATGGCGAAGTGGCGGTCCTTGCCGAGGAGCAAGGCCGCCCAGCCCAATGAAGGTATTAAGCTACAACTGTCGGGGTTTGGGCAACACCCGGGCAGTTGCAAAGCTCAAGAAGCTTGTCCGAAAACAAAACCCTCATTTGGTGTTTCTGATGGAAACTAGAAAGGATGATAAAGGGTGGCAAGAGATTCAAAAGGAACTGGGCTTCTCAGGGGGATGTGGGGTAGCTGCTAGCTGTACCAGAGGATGGAAAGCAGGGGGCCTCTGCTTGTTGTGGACTGATGAGATTCTTGTAACAAAGATTGGCGATTCCCTTCACCATATTGATGTGGTGGTTTCTACAAATGATGAAAATGAACATTGGAGATTTACTGGTTTCTATGGATGGGCAGCTCGGGATGAGAGGTTCCTATCTTGGGATCTTCTACGTGGTCTGAAAAATGGATGCAATCTGCCTTGGGTATGTATGGGGGATTTCAACCAGATCCTATCGGGTGAAGAGAAAAAGGGGGGCAGGCTGATTGATGAAAAACAGGCTACTGACTTCAGAGAGGCTTTAGAATATTGTGGCCTCCTGGACTGTGGATTTACGGGTTACCCGTTTACTTGGGAAAACAACAGATCTAGCGAGGGGTCTATTGAAGAAAGGCTGGACAGATGCGTTGCGAGCTGGGATTGGAAACTTTTATATCCTAACCATCAACTAAACCACCTTGATCGCTGTGGCTCAGATCACTGTCCGATTATGCTCTTTACGGCAGGAAAAGATGATGAGGAAATTCGATGGGGCTGGTATTTCAAAGTGGAGCCCTTTTGGTTAAAAGAAGCTGAATGTGGTAACATTGTCAAAAAGGTGTGTGATGAAAATCGGGGAGGAGACATCTCTACTATCCTGAATGACTGCAAAACTGAACTCACTAACTGGAGCAAGGAAAAGTTTGGAAATATTAGGAGGAGAATCGAAAGAGTCGAGAACATATTGAAGGGATTCAAATATAAGAGGAAAACGAATACTGTGATTGAACAGAGAAGAGCCCTTGAAGAAGAAAGAGATGAGTTGATCTATCAAGAGGAGATGATGTGGAAGCAGAGGTCGAGGGCTGACTGGCTGAATAGGGGGGACAAAAATAACAAGTTTTTCCACTCTAAAGCTATTGCCCGTAGGAAACGCAACACAATCAAGATGCTACAGGATGATAGAGGGAGAATTTTTAAGGGGCAGGAAGAAGTTATGGGGTGCCTCAGTGATTATTACAAAGCTCTGTTTACTAGAGGACCAATTCCTAGCACTGATGTGGTCATTCAAGCCCTGGAAAGAAAAATAACCCCAACTATGAATGAAAAACTGCTTCGACCTTTCACATGTGAAGAGATAAAGGAGGCTATTGATCAGATGGGACCCAACAAAGCTCCGGGCTCTGATGGTTTCTCGGCAGGCTTCTTCCAGCAAAATTGGAATACTATCGGACCAAAGGTAACTAAAACTGCTCTTAATTTCTTAAATGGAGGGGCACTCCCATCAGATCTAAATCATACCCTTATTGTTCTTATCCCTAAGGTGAAGAACCCCTCAAATGCAAAAGATTTTAGGCCGATCAGCCTGTGCCAAGTCATGTACAAAATCATTTCGAAGGTTCTTGCTAACAGACTTAAACTTATTCTTGATGATATTATCACTGAAGAGCAGAGTGCCTTTGTGCCAGGAAGGAGCATAACTGACAATGTTATTGTTGCTTTCGAATGTTTCCAGTATATGAAGCAGAAAGAGAAAGGAAAAGATGGTTTCTTCGCAGCAAAACTCGACATGGCTAAAGCCTATGATCGAGTGGAGTGGTTTTTTCTTGAGAAGGTGATGAGAAAACTTGGCTTCGATGAAAGGTGGATCGAATTAATTCTACAATGTGTTTCATCAGTCACTTATTCTGTTTTGGTAAATGGCCATAAATCAGAGATTTTCTACCCATCGAGGGGCCTGAGACAAGGTGACCCGCTGTCACCATATCTATTCCTTCTTTGTGCTGAAGGATTCTCGGCATTATTGAAGAAAGCTGAAAGGGAGGGGGAACTCAATGGGATCCAGATCAGAAGAAAAGCACCAAAAGTGTCTCATCTTTTATTTGCAAATGATAGCGTGGTGTTTGGGAGGGCTACTCTTAAGGAATGTGATATTCTCAGGGACCTCTTACGCTCTTATGAGAAGGAATCAGGCCAAATGATCAACTATAGTAAGTCTGACATCTCCTTTAGCAAAAATGTGAGATGTAGCAGACGTTTGGAAATTTGTGGCACGTTAAGAATCAAGGAAGTGGACAAACATCCTAAGTACCTGGGTCTGCCCACCATCATTGGAAGGTCTAAGAAGGTTATTTTTGAAGAGTTAAAGGAGAGGGTTCGTAAGAAACTAAAAGATTGGAAGAGCAGAACTTTGTCTCAAGCGGGAAAGGAAATCTTGATAAAGGCTGTTGCACAGGCTCAACTCATGTACCCTATGAATGTGTTCCTAATCCCTGAGGGCACTATCAAGGAGATCCAGAGCATGATATCTTCATTCTGGTGGGGACAGAAGGGCAAGGAAACAAAAATTCATTGGCTAAATTGGGATGAACTTTGTGATGACAAGGAAGAAGGTGGAATGGGGTTCAGGGACCTAAGAGCTTTCAATCTTGCGATGCTTGGAAAACAGGTCTGGAGAATTATGGAGCGGCCTCATTCTTTAATGGCCAGAATCCTGAAGGCCAAGTACTTCCCTAAAACAGACGTGTTGAATGCCAAGATGGGGTATAGGCCCAGCTATATTTGGAAGAGTATTTTTACTGCTAAGGAAAAAATTGAGCATGGATTCAGGTGGAGGGTGGGAAATGGGGAGAGTATTCGAATCTGGGAAGACGAATGGATCCCTGGAAAAAGCTTCTACTTTGCTGATCCTGTCCAGGGTGCTATGAACAGTAGTGAGCTTGTGAGCTCTCTCATTGACCATGAGAGTAGTGGATGGGACCAGGCTAGAATGCAGGAGAGGTTATCCAGTAGTGATTGTGCCCTTGTGACCAGAATTCCAATTGGATTTCCGCTACAGAATGATAAAAGGGTATGGAAGGATTCGGAAGATGGGGTGTACTCTGTTCGAACAGCCTATAGCAGAATTCGGGAACAACGGCGTGAACTTCAGACTCGACAATACATGCCATCAAAAGGGGATGTGGACTTCTGGAAGCAACTCTGGAAAACAGATGTTCCTCCCAAGGTACGTGTTTTTCTATGGAAAGTGGGGAGAGAAATCTTACCTGTGGGTAGTCATATCGCAGAATGGATCGAGGACGCATGCTTGGATTGCCCCTTCTGTGGATTGCCGGAGACCCAGATTCATGCCCTTCGTGAGTGCAGCTGGATCAGAAACAGATGGAGTCAATGGGAAGGTAAAGATCTGTACGAGATCGGAGAAGGCAAAACTAGCTTTGAATGGCTAAAAGAGGTTTGGAAGAGTTTTGATAAAGGAAAGATTCAACGTTTTAGTGCTGTGATGTGGTACCTTTGGAAGGAAAGGTGTAATCACCTCAATAACAACCCGAAGCTCGACGAAGAAGAGATTATCCCCCGGGCGGTGAACTGGCTTAACTCCTACTTGGAGGCTCAGAGATCCATGGACCAACAACCTCAAATCGATATCATCGCCGCCGATCCTAGGAGATGGGTGCAGCCTCCGGAAGGGGTTTTCAAGCTTAACTCAGACGCGGGTATTCTGCATCAAGGGGGAATCGGATTGGGTTGTATTTTTCGGGACTGGAGGGGGGTTTTCAAGGGGGCGACGGGAATGAAGGAGAAGGGCGCATGCAGACCCATCGAAGCGGAGGCGAGGGCCATCTTGTTGGGTCTCCGCGAAGCTAATCGGTTGGGGCTGAGTCCTCTTATTGTGGAATCAGATTGCCAGGTGCTAATTCGTAAGCTGAGGAAGAAGGAGGAAGATCAAACTGAAGTGGGGAGTTGGTGTGCTGAGATTTGGAGTTTGGCGGAGGTTAATGCAAGTCTATCTGGGATTCAGGTTGAATGGAACTTTACTCCTCGAAGAAACAATGGCGCTGCTCACTGGTTGGCTCACTCTCTGGGAGTTTGGGGCCGTCAATTTGTTTGGGTGGATGATCCACCGCTGTCTTTGCTCTGTGTCTTGGAGGCCGACATGGGCCGGGTTTGTTCGGACCCTGTGTAAACTTTCTCTCTTAATATAATTCAGGTTCCCGTAAAAAAAAAAAAAAAAAGAAACGGCTATATTCCAATCTGCCAAAAATGCCTTCCGTAAATACCTGTCTAAATTGCAAGTTTGATCATTAGAATTAAATCAAAAGTTCACATTTATCACTAAAATTAATTTATTTCATCGGTAGTCACTTAAATTAGGTTAACAGTCCTAGTTTGATCACTGATCATTAGTCTCCGTTAATTTTTACTGATGTTGCGATCAACTCTTATAGTTGACCATTAAATAAATGACGTCACAAATAAAAAAATAAAAAATTTTATTTTTATTTCCACCTAATTATTATAAAAATTAAAAAAAAAAACCATTGAAATGGCAGCAGCTGCGGCAGTGGCCAGCAATTCTCTCCATCAGAATCAGCCGGTCCCGACGCCGCCGCCTCCTTTACCGACATCCAGCGGCGTGCGTTCTCCCAACCACAACAACGGTAACAACAGGAATCCTTCTATGGCGACTTCACAGCACAACTCGTCTGAATTTGCCGCCGACTCGTCGGCGGAGCTGGGGTGCGGCACCGGAGGCGACGAGCCGGCGCGGACGCTGAAGCGGGCGAGGCTAGTGTGGATCAAGAACGCGGTGTCCAAGACGATAATGCAGCTCATGAGTGTGGACGGGTTGACTAGGGAGAATGTCGCCAGTCATTTGCAGAAGTACCGGCTCTACCTCAAGCGGATGCAGGGGTTGTCCTCCGGTAGCGGGGGAGGGGGTGGCGGGGGATTGAGTGGTGGTTCATCTACCGTTGGTGTCGATGCCGCTACCGACCATTTGTTCGCGAGTTCCCCTGTGCCGACGCATCCCGGGAGGCCGCCTATTTACGACCATTTCATGTTGTTTGTTCCCGTCAGCGCCCTTCAGCATCAGCATCACCAGCAGGCAGCAGCAGATGGCGGTGGCTGCCGCAACTCATCCGCAGCTGCAGGGTCACCATAGGCAGATGGCGCATTTCGGGTCTCCGCCCAATGGGCAATTCGATCATCCCTTACTTGCTAGGCCGGCGGCGCAGCAGCAAGCTGTGCTTAGAATGGGACCGCCGGTGCACAATGCGGCGGTTCCAGGGTATGTGGAGGATTTGGAATCGGCAAATGGAAATGGTGGAAGGAAAGTTCTGGCTCTGTTTCCTACTGGAGATGATTGAAATTGGGCTCTACTGATGGGTTTCTAAGTTTCCCCTGTTCATCAGTCTTCTTACATTCTAATTTTAGTTTCGTTCATGGTGGTTTTGTTCTGTTCTTCATTGTGGAAAATCGAACAAAATCGACCATTTCAATGGTTTTTTTAATATAATTAGGTGGAAAATAAAAATCTATTATTTTTTATTTTTTAATTGCCACATTACTTATTTAACGGTCAACTATACGAGTTGACCATCACATCGGTAAAAGTTATCGGAGACTAACGGCCAGTGACTAAACTTAGACGGTAACCTAATTTAAGTGACTACTGATTGAATAAATTAATTTTAGTGGCAAACGTGAATTTTTTATTTAATTCTAGTAACCAAACTTGCAATTTAGCCGTACATACCTCCATGCTTTTTTTTATAGAAATCTTCTAGAATTTTATTAATGTGCTATAGCCTCATGAGTAGGGATGACAATCCAACCCGAAACCATGGGTACCCTACACGACCGTAACCGATCAACGTGGGTAATTACCCGCTTCGACGGGTTAAGGGCCGGGTACGGGTAATACCCGATTTTAAAAATGAGGGTAGGGTACGGGTATGATAATTGCTAATACCCGCCCCGTTATACCCACCCCGCTAACTAAACGATAGATTTCCCCCTAATTCTAAGAACAAAAACAAAAAAAACTTGTGCTTGTTTTACCAATTATCAACTGTTGCCATGATGTCATGATACTGTACCACGTCATGGAGATTGTTCTTAATTGTTTTGTCCTCTTTGATAAGCTCTCAGCTCATGGTTTCATAGCTTCTCTCTTTCAGGAGCCTCTTATATGGTGAACAAATGCGGACTATGAAGGGTTTAACCTGGACTTTCACTCATCTCCAATGGAATGAAAGTTGGTGTTGTTGATTCATGGGTTCGCTTCCTGCCAAGCAAGTTGTAGAAGTGGAAGTGCTACTAATTTCCTTTACTACTATTCTGGATGCTTCTATAGTTTTGTTAACTAATTATATATTGAAATCATCAACAAAAAGTTGTTATTTATATAGAATTTATCAATATGTTATTCTTAAAGCTAGAGAGACACATGTGCTTGTTTATTCCATCTTCACTAGTGATTGTTTAACCGTTTTGAACCGTGACCCATTCATCCGTGTCGCACCCCCGACCGACCCTACCCGTTCAAGTTTGTGGGTGGGTGGGTGGGTGGTGGGTCAATTTTGTACCACCCGTTTATAGCTTGGGTGGGTCACTTTGATGGGCAAAATCCGCCCGACCCACCCCATGACTAGCCCTACACATATATGTATAAGTTCATATTTTAGGATTTGTATCCGTGGTTACCCGAATACCCGTGGTTACCCGGTGGGTAGGGTATGATTATATCATTCCATACCCGGTGGTTATTTGATCGGGTATTTTAGAAGGCTCTACCCGGCGGATTAGGAGTTGGTATAGGATGAACTCGCACCCGACCCTGCCCATTGACATCCCTACTCATGAGCTAACAAAAACTAACATAAATATGGGTGGTCTGCCGACCTATCTTTTGTGGGCCTCCCAATTACACATGATATGGGGGTCACAACATGTGTAGCCTGGTTCCCCTCCCGTAGCCCAAAATTTCATTCAATCGACCCGGTTAGGTCTGCCAGCTCTTAAATCTCCCGAACTCGAACAACTATCTCCAGTCTTGAAACCTCTATTTTCTGCAATTTGAGTATTGCATTTTGGCAATTAGATTCTACAATTACTGAACCCAACCCTTTTTCTCTCACCATTTCCATACCAAATTCGATTGCCCTAAGCTCTGCCAATTCTAGCGACCAGGGGTTGCGTTCTTTGCGGACTATTGCCATGACAAAGTGTCCATTCGAGTCTCGAGCAACCACCCCCAGTCCTGTCCCTCCTTCTTTCAGCACCTCCGCGTCAACATTGGCCTTTACCCAACCCTCTGGTGGCCTTTTCCAGGTACATGGTTCTTCTGATCTCTCTTCTGGTAGCCTTGCGGTGTTGTTGGGTGAACAGTTCCCAAAAATTAATCGCTTTCGTCAGAATTTCTCATTCCTCCGCCTTCTTGTTGTTGAACATTTGATTATTCCTTTCATGCTTTTCAATAGCATGGCAACTTCTATATATATGGGTTTTTGAATCAATTTGTCTGATAAAACAAGTCAGATCGAAATTGATATATAAATTCATAGGTTACCATACATACAAGCTGTTAAGATGTTTAATAACACTTCGGCTAATTATCATAAATGGTCACAAACCTATTCACTTTGTACAAAATGGTCACAAACCTTTAATTTTGCACATTTCGGTAACAATTGTTTAGACTAATAACAAAACGATAATTCCGTCCATCTCCATCCATAAATATGTTAGTTTACTCCAATCAGCACGCCATGTCATCAACAAATAATAATAAAATACATAAACCAAACCAATAATATCCAACCAAACCAAACCAAACTCATTTCCACCCGAAGAGCAGGGTCATCGAAAGAGGCTGTGGAGAAGGAGTCGGGAGCGGCGAGGGTCATCGAAATTTCGTGAAGGTGGAACTGGTTTATGGTGGTGGTGCGCGCGATAGTGAAACATGCCGAGGATCTCTAGTTCTCCCACACCAAAGGAATCCATCTTTGGTCTTCAAAATAGCATCTCTTTTCAATGCCCTGTTGCCATTCAATTAGATCTAGGAATCAGAAGCTCATTTGAATCATAGAATGAAGAGACAGAGGGAAAAAGAAATAGAAAGAGGCGGAGGAGAGGAGAAGAAGAAGAAGAGAGAATGGGACATCAATCTCCTTTTCTTCCACTTTTCTTCTCCAACTAGATCCGCCTCTTAGTCCCGTTTAGCTCCTCAACCAGCCTTTGGCTTCGGCGGCACCCGTAATATCTCGTCAACCGCTTGCTTCGTGGCAACGATGGAGGAGAAAGGGGGAATCAATGGTGGCGACGATGGAGAAATAGTGGAAAACAGATGATGGCCCGGCGGATCAGAATCAAAGGCGACATCAAAGTTTTGGGAGCAATCGATTGGGGAGGAAAGGCGACGGGACGGAGGAGGAGATCGGAATCTCTACCGACACAATTAACCGCTTTGATGTCCGTGATGTTCAGCCAGTGAGTTGGTAATTGCCGATCCATGTAACCCAAAATTGGATTGGGTTTGTATTTTTATCGAGTATAATTTAATTTTCGGGTGGGTTGAGTTTGGTTTGGTTTATTGACTTTGTATTATTATTGTTGATGACATGGCATGTTGACTAGAGTAAACTAACGGAATTTTGGATGGAGATGGACGAAATTATCGTTTTGTTATTAGTCTAAACAATTGTTACTGAAATGTGCAAATTTAAAGGTTTGTTACCATTTTGTACAAAATGAATAGTTTTGTGACCATTTATGATAATTATCTATAACACTTCATCACAATATTGCCCTCCGCATATTAATTAAACAATCTTACTAGTGTAGAAACCTCAATTAAATTGTGTTCTAGTAAGATTTGATACATCAAAATTGTCAAAGGTTTAACAAGTGGTATGAACAATCAATTTATGTCAATTTATACGGATTCTAACAAAATTAAATATGTCAGAAAAGTGAGATATCAACAACATCAATGAACTACGCATATATATTTATAGCTCATCACTATTTGCTTACAATTGATATCCATACTTAAATAAAATGCATCAAAAAGTAAAATGACAACCACTACATCTACCAGATATATAAAGGAAAAACATGGGTTGATATTCTCCCATTTCAAATTTCGTGGCCTGAAAGTGATTCTAGGAAGGTCATTTTTGTCATTGCACCCAGTTCATATTTCTATATTAAAAATGTTATCATTAGAGTTCGAACCTGGGTCAATTAAATGAAGAAAAAGCATTATAACCAACTAGGCTACATTTTATTTATTGTTATTTCTTTGATTAAACTCTAGGAATATGTTTGGTAATGATGCTTCTATATTTATATTTTATCTTAAGTTATTTATGTTTTATAGAAAGAGATTAGTTTTGAAATCAGAATTCAAGTAGTATTGATTTAAACATTAATATTAAAGTGTATGTGTTGTTTAGTTTAGACAAAATACTGAAGTGTAACCAAAACATCAACCTTTGTGACGAGTATAATCTCTTTTTTTTTTTGTGACAAATCTACACATAAACTTCACATCACAGGCTAAATCGATAGATGATATTTAGCAATATAAAACTGTTGAACCACAGTTAAATAATGACTTCAGTATAAAATACTTTATTCGCAACTTTTTTTTATATGATTTTACAATCTTTTGGTTCAAATAATTCTTTTACACTGGTGGAAACATAAGCTTTAAGACACATTTTGAATTATCTATTGCAAAAAAGCATAACTTAGTTAGCGATAATGAGAATATGTGATCTCATGCAACCCAAAAAACACTTTGCAACTTCTATCTTTCTAAAATAAATGTATGTTACTCCTACCCTCGCTCATTCATCAACTTAATGAGTGACATATATTTCATGTAATATTATTTTTATACTTTTTTATTTATTGAATTATTTCATGAAAAAATATTTGTTGCATGAAAATTACTAAATTGTTGCTAGACATGTCTGTGATCTAAGAATAATTTGGGAAGTCCGTGCGTACACAACAGATTGTCCAACTAACTATTAGCGACAACTTAGCATCATGTCCTATATATTTCAAATCAAACAACTTCGGATCCATTACCAACAGTGTGGTGAAAAAGAATGCTCTCTATTGGGAAAAACTTAAAGGACATACTAAACTCTTTGAGACATTTTCTTTCATCCTAAATATTATTTATGTATTATAAGAAACAACTCTAATATTCAACTATATGGTTTAATTAAGTAATGAATGATAATTAGTTATATTTATTTTTTTCATTCCGTAATTATATGTAATGCTTATATTATATTTTTTTCTCTTTTCATAGAGGTCTAAACATATTATGCCTAGTTGGATCACTTTAAAAAAAATGTTATGTGCATATAGAAAACAATCATTTCATACATTTCAAATCATCTGTTATATCAATTATTATATACCATATTACTCGACAAAAATTTTCCGGCCAACGGGTCGGGACCGTGCTAGTTTAATTATAACAACAAACGTTAACATGGAAACATTTTGTTGATTGATATCTAGTTATTTAGGAGGTGAATTGGTCATTATGGTAGACATTTTCTTGATTTTAACTGACATTGACCATTTTTAATAATTGTGAATGTCACTTCATATAATGAGGATTTGATGTTCGATGCCAATTAGATCCAAATGTACCACAACATACATACCACAAATTTTAAAAACATGATTACTATAATAAATCAAGGATTAAGAGATCATACCGTACCTCGACGGTTCAACCAGAAAAACCTTTTATCATAGACTAGACCGGTAGAATGTATTTAGCGATTTGAAACAGTTGAACCACAATTAAATAACTATTTCAGTACAAACACCCTACCACTGACTTTTCTAATACAACCTCCAAATACGGTTTACAATATCTACGATTTACGTAATCATTTATTTCATGATAAATAAATAAAACTTAGCGGTCGCCTTCCCACCCAAAAGAGAAGACAAAATAAGATAATAATATAAAACTTTTAACCAACATGTACGGACATCGGGAAAGTTCGTATATCCTATGAGTAATATAAAATAGCTATAATCCAGAAGATCAGCACCACTCACTCCTAGCACATTATCTTGCAGATTACGACAAATTTCTACAGCAGCGACTGCGATAGACCCATCTCAAACTTTCCTCAATTCCGGCCGATCGCCACCACCAGCTCTCACCATGGGACACAACCACACTAATCGATCTGCTGAGGCCAGGGACGCTCAGAGGAAGCGGGCTGCGGAAGGAAAGAAAGGGTAACGATTCAACGCAGAACTCTTTTTATGCCGCCCACATTTCTGGGTCTTATGCTTTTGGGGATCTGAAATACTTTGACACCTGATTTTGGACCAGTAGCTGCTAATTCAATCCAATACACTTTTCGTGTTCATTCACATATCCATTGCAGCACTTGAACTTTGGCATTTTCTGGGTCTTCAACTTTTGAGATCTGAAATCTTTTGGTTTGATGGTCTGATTATGACCAGTAGCTGCCAATTCAATCCAATCTACACTGTTCGTGTTCATTCACACTGCCATTTCAGTGAACTGTTGCATTTCTGGGACCTCCGCTTTAGGGATCTGAAATCCTTTAATTCGATGAGTCTGATTAAGACCATTTGCTGCCAATTCAATCCAATACATTTTTGAGTTCATTCATATAGTCATTTCAGTAGTTCAACTGTTGCATTCTGGGGTTTGGCAAAGCTCTATAGGCTCACCACGTTTCTAGGTCTGTTGGATTTGTGATCTGTTGCTCAATGACTAGATGTAGATGGGACTGCTGCCAATTCAACACTCATTGTGTTAATTTAATTTACATCAGGCAAATCATTATGAGTGAACTTATACCAGGATAATTTACATGCATGGTCAGATAGTATTATGTGTACATATAGACAAGGGTTAAACATAATGATCTATAAGCATTGTGTTTAAGACCGCGCCTTCTCTTGAGGGGTAAGTTCATACTTCTCTATATGCGCATCTTCTGCTGTCTTTGGTCTACAGAAATGGATTTCCGTTGAAAAGCTTTAATTTTTTTTAAACAAAATCTCAATCAAATGGACCAAACAACTCATGGTCATATGAAAAGCTTTAAACTTTCAAGAGTATGTCCCAGATCTTCGTTATCTACTCTGTTTTTTTATTGGTAGATCAATCCCTTCTCTATTCTGGATCCTTTGGTTGCGATTTATGTTCTGGGGAACCGATCTAAACATCTCTCATTCTTTGGTAGAGGAATAGATCTGTGGATCTGAGTGTTCAATGTGGTCTTAAACATTGGTGCGTATATTTCCTGCAATGAGATCTAGGCCTCTGTCTCTCTATTGTGACATCCTTGTATCCAGATCTTACATTTGCAATACCATATGTTGTTTGTTAATTCGTATTCTGTGTCTAATATTTTGTCGTGTGAAGGTCTAGTCTTTTTTATGGTTGTTCTCCATGTTCTCATGGATTGTTTGTTAATTCACTGTTTCTGGATCTCTAAACCATATATATATATATATTGTTAAAAGTGAAACTTTGAAAACAAATGTTAATCTCTCTTAACATCTTTCATACCCCTTCTATCTGTCTCTCAAACACATGATGAACTATAGCAATGTTAATGCTTTGTGTATGCATTTGAGTAGTGAATCGAGTATCTTATTTTGACAGGTAAGTAAACATTCTGAAACCATAAGGATGCACTCTAGGATTCGTTGACTCAATTGCGGAGCCGGAGCTGCCTCGCGCGATTGTTTGCCTGACGGTTGACTTCCCTCGCCATGTTTCCTTGCCTCCTCGCCGCAGCTGCCAGGTTGGGATCTGCAAGTGCGGTAGGCGAAGGTGAGGTCTCTTTCACCTTCTTTCCGTGCTTCCCTACCTTCTTCTTTCCTGGTTCTTTTTCCTTGTTCAGCTGGTCAGCATCCAAGACTTTATGAGTCCTGTTAACAAAGAAGATTAGTAGGCTGTTTTCTATCATTGATTTCATCTCGTATAGGCTGAGGTCCATAGAGTTAGGTATCTCCTCAAATCTCACTGTGGAGGAACAAGAAAGAGAGGGGAGCAACTAAAAGAGAACCTAGAAGCAAAGAAAGTAAGGAACGCCAATTCCCATAACACACAGATACAAACATGACATTTGGTTTTCTTGTTCTTGTTCCCTGATCTGAGTCCTCACAGTCACAGCTCCCAGTTGCAGGGTTCTTCTCCCACTTCTCAGTAATAAAAACCTCACAATGCTTATAGATCATTTGTTTCATCAACATAATCCGTCAGTTAATATTAGCATTTGCATATTAACCAACCTGGCAACAGCCTACTAATCTTCTTTGTTAACAGGACTCATAAAGTCTTGGATGCTGACCAGCTGAACAAGGAAAAAGAACCAGGAAAGAAGAAGGTAGGGAAGCACGGAAAGAAGGTGAAAGAGACCTCACCTTCGCCTACCGCACTTGCAGATCCCAACCTGGCAGCTGCGGCGAGGAGGCAAGGAAACATGGCGAGGGAAGTCAACCGTCAAGCAAACAATCGCGCGAGGCAGCTCCGGCTCCGCAATTGAGGCAACGAATCCTAGAGTGCATCCTTATGGTTTCAGAATGTTTACTTACCTGTCAAAATAAGATACTCGAGTCACTACTCAAATGCATACACAAAGCATTAACATTGCTATAGTTCATCATGTGTTTGAGAGACAGATAGAAGGGTATGAAAGATGTTAAGAGAGATTAACATTTGTTTTCAAAGTTTCACTTTTAACAATATATATATATATATATATATATATATATATATATATATATATATATATATATATATATATGGTTTAGAGATCCAGAAACAGTGAATTAACAAACAATCCATGGAGAACAGCCATAAAAAAGACTAGACTGCGCCTTCACACGACAAAATATTAGACACAGAATACGAATTAACAAACAACATATGGTATTGCAAATGTAAGATCTGGATACAAGGATGTCACAATAGAGAGACAGAGGCCTAGATCTCATTGCAGGAAATATACGCACCAATGTTTAAGACCACATTGAACACTCAGATCCACAGATCTATTCCTCTACCAAAGAATGAGAGATGTTTAGATCGGTTTCCCCAGAACATAAATCGCAACCAAAGGATCCAGAATAGAGAAGGGATTGATCTACCAATAAAAAAACAGAGTAGATAACGAAGATCACGAAGATCTGGGACATACTCTTGAAAGTTTAAAGCTTTTCATATGACCATGAGTTGTTTGGTCCATTTGATTGAGATTTTGTTTAAAAAAAATTAAAGCTTTTCAACAGAAATCCATTTCTGTAGACCAAAGACAGCAGAAGATGCGCATATAGAGAAGTATGAACTTACCCCTCAAGAGAAAACGGAGGTTCTTCTTTAGTGGTCGTATATACGCCATATTGCTCACTGGAAGCGGCGGAGTTTCATCGGAGGAGTTATCAGAAGAGAGGGCGGATACACAGTAATTCATAGGAGTAAATATTCATAAGGCTGGTATTCGTCTTGACGATGAAGGGAGGGGAGGGGGGAGAGAGAGAAAGGGAGAAGTCTGAAATAGAAGGAAGAGAGAGCAGAAGGTGAATCTAATCCATCCAACCTAACTAGGGATGGCAATGGGTAGGGTCGGGTGCGGGTTTACCCTATACCAACTCCTAACCCGTCGGGTAGAGCTTTCTAAAATACCCGACTAAATAACCACCGGGTATGAAAATTATATAACCATACCCTACCCACCGGGTAACCACGGGTATTCGGGTAACCATGGGTACGAATCCTAAACTATGAACTTATACACATATATGCACATACGTACTGTTGTCCATTAAAAATTCTCAATACTTCTAATTGTTCTAGTTTCAACAATCCACACAAATAAAAACAACAAAAACATAATAATTGTTCTTGCTTCTACAATCCACACAAACATAATAATCGTCTACATCATCATCAATAATGGTTGCTAAACTAAATTTCTCAAGCTAAACTAAATTTCTCAAGGGAAATTGACCCTTTAGTAAGCGGGGCGGGTATAACGGGGCGGGTATTATCGATTACCATACCCGTACCCTACCCTTTATTTTGAAACCGGGTATTACCCGTACCCGCCCCTTAACCCGTCAAAGCGGGTAATTACCCTCGTTGACCGGTTACAGTCGGGTAGGGTACCCATGGTTACGGGTTGGATTGACATCCCTAAACCTAACTCTGCTCTGCGCCTGTTCCTTCCCACTTTCCAAAGCGTGTACAACTTTTCCTTTTCAATTTCCTCTTTTCATATTTATTTATTTTTCAATTTAAATTTAAATAAATAATAAAAAAGGTAGGGATTTATCTCCCTCTTCCACGCCGGCCGTTTCAAGTTCAACTTCAAAGACTCATAATTTTCGGCCATACATTATTTATTATGGAGTTTGCTACGGTGACATGCACTTTTCGGTCGACCTCATATAGGATCAGGTCGATCTAATCAGTTGTTTCAGTGTAAAAACAGTTTCATGGTACCTACTTTGGAGATTCATATCTTACAATTGGCTAGATGGAAATTGGAGATTAAAGGCTTGTTTTGAAGCTGAAGTGTCCCTCTACACATTAAAGTACTTGGAAGCTCAATAGAAAGTCCAGAAGACCATTTTTGAACCTGACCAAAAGGTTACGCCAAAACTGGGAAACTGCCTGAAAATGGCTAAGTCTGGCAACGTGTTTGTCAAGCCTACTTTGGAGCTCAATTTGAGAAGCATGGATGCGAGTCAAGTCCAGGGGCCTCTACCACGTTAAATTACGTATTTTTTTATACAAAGGCAAGACATTGAATGAAAGATTGAATATCTTTAAGGCTTCAAACAAAAGGCTCGAAGTTGCTACGAAGGCTGTTTTTCTGGCAGCTTGCTTGTGCTCGAAATCTGCCAGAAAAACAGCCTTCGTAGCAACTTCGACCCTTTTGTTTGAAGCCTTAAAGCTATCCAATCTTTCATCCAATTCCTTGAATTTGTATAAAAACATACCTAATTTAACGTGGTAGAGGCTCCTGGACTCGACTCGCATTCATGCTTCTCGAATTGAGCTCAAAAATAGGCTTCACAAACACGTTTCCAGACTTAGCCATTTCTAGGCAGTTTTCCAGTTTTGGCATAGCCTTTTGATGAGGTTCAAAAATAATCTTCTGGACTTCCTATCGAGCTCTCAATCACTTCAATATGTAGAGGGACACTCTAGCTTCAAAACAAGTCATTAGTCTTCAATTTCCATTTAGCCAATTGTATGATATGAATATCCAAAGTAGGCACCATGAACTGTTTTTACACTGAAACAACATATTAGGTCGACCGGATCCTATATGAGGTCGACCGAATCCTAAATGAGGTCGACCGGATCCTATATGAGGTCGACCGAATTCTAAATGAGGTCGACCTAATCCTAACTGAGGTCGACCGGAAAGTGCAAGTCACCGTGACATGCATGTCACCGTAGGCACACCCATTTATTATTTATTTTCTTTTCCATTTTCCCTTTAAGTCGTTCAATTTCGATCTGACGTCATTTACTCGACATGTTTGAGTTGTTTTGAGCCGGGATGGCATGGGTACCTCGAATGGACCCAATCTGTCTATTCTTGATTCGTTCTTGCCTAAATTATATGTAAACTTAGTCAAATTACTTAGAAATTTCTTTTATAAATTATTACCTCATATTTTAGCTATAATAAAATTATAATTAAGTGAAAATCTCAATTTCTCCAAAATTTAATAATATTATTATATTATGGTTTATTTCTTGGTTTTTTAATGAAAATAAAGAATATTTCTAATATTTTTCATATAAATTACATACACATTAGGTCGACCTACCCCAACCCACGCCACATGATAAATTATCCGACCTGAACCCGACCTACCACAGGACGGGTATGAGTATCGAGATACCCGCCGCGGACCTGCCCATTACCATTCCTATTCCCCATCTTTCTTCCTCGACAATTTCGCAATTTATTTTTTAGTTTTTTCATTCAATTTTGGGCAGCTTTATCGTGATATTTGCCATTCTCTTGGCTTATCGTTCGTAGGGTGTATAATGGTATACGTGATTGATTATGAGTGCCTTCATATTTATTGATTGAAATTAGAATACTTTCCTATTTTTTAAACTTTAAATTTTATTATCTTGTTTATTTTAACTCGAATGTTAAACTTTTTTCAAAAATGGAATTATGATTTTGAGATTGATATCCATTTTCAATATATTTAAAAAAACTCCATCATTAACACTCGTTACCACTTCAATATCAATCACTTTCGTTTAAAACTTAAATTTTGAAAACCTATACACAAAAAGAATTTGATCATTGTGATTTATTGTCATTTTCAAAAGATTTTGAAAAACATTTCACGACCAAACATATCACTGTATACTATCCTGACATATAGGAATGATAATTTTGACCTGACTCATTTTACCCGACATGTTAGACATGTATTGGGGCTAGTAATACCTGTCCGCATGGAGGCACTCCTCGACCTTAATTGCTTTCACCCGCCTCATTCTCGACCCATTTTTGAATAAGTTGCATGTAATTTTACTCATATTATTTAATATTTACTTGTATTACCCAAGGTTCAAGAAGGCGTTAGGTGTAAGGCGGGCGTTGAGGTTTTGCCTAGCGCCAGGCTAGCTCGCCTAGGCGCAGACTAAGCGTGCCTAGGCATTAGAAGAAAAATAGTTATTCGCACTGCATTATGAATGAAATAATAATCTACAACATTTTCTCACTTAAGTTAAAATGGTTAATAACTTTCTCAACACTGAATGACAAGAACATAGATCACGAATCCATAGAATCATAGCTCAATAGCTCACAAAGTTCTTGAGTTATAAAAAAATATTGATATAGAAAATTGATTTGGTAGTTGTTGTTAATTTCCTGCTTTAATATTGACTTCTTAGCTCCATCTAGTTATGTTTAGGAGAGAGTTAGATGTCGTCTTACTCCATTGACGTGTTCCTGAACTAGGCGTGAAACCCCTAGACGAGGCGTTTTGTCATTGCCTTGCGCTAGGCGTGCCTAAGCATAAGATTAAGCATGTCTTTTTGAACCATGGTACTACCTCATATTTTAGCTACAATGAAGTTGTAAATAGTTAGGAGTGTGCAACAGGGCTTCCGTACCAGACCAAACCATGTTTGGATTGTAACATTCAATTACCTTCATAGGCTACTTGTGACTGGATACTCGAGAGTGGGCCCTAAAATTACTTCGATAACATGTTGCATCTGAGTGCCTGGGTTCCTGGGATGGACGTTGAAGACTTGGGGCGTAAATCACTGCCTATCTGTGTAAGGCTGCTACCCATGATGCATTTTGTTGGAGTTTGGGGCATATATCCTGGTATATTTGATCCCTTTCTCACATAGCTTCCACCTTTTTGTGATTCTCTATGTTGGTGTCTGGTTCACTCCTTTACTAATGTTTTATTTTGTGGTGATAGTCAGGTAATTACTCAGGAATATCTATGTGAGCGATTCATCGCACGCGGTGGGTGGATCTATCCTGCAAGATATTCAGGTGTTGAGACTTCTTTCCTACGTGCTTCTTTCAGCTTTGCCCATATCATGGAAATTAAAGCCCTTGGAGCGATGGTTTAGACACTTTGTCGACCATCGTGTTTTTTGTATTTAAATTTCCTAGCTTGGTCTTAGTAGGTATTGTATATTGTCATATCTTTGTTGCTTCCCCTCGGGGATAACTATGACACAAAAAGCTCTAAAGATTTCCCATTGAATACATTAATTACCAAGGGCTTAGTCAACCAGAACACTAGGACTAGGGGCGTCTATATTATGCAAAAAATTTGGTTGAACTCCAAGCAGACGAGGAATTCCTAGACCATGTTTTAATCTGCCCAGATGAGGGAGCATCCGTTCGTATTGGAGTGATATGCTCTCACCTTCTTCTAGTATGTAAACTTGTTATTTGTTTGGGATATGTGATTGCCATAAGCAAATATGAGTTCAAAATAATACCAAGAAGGGAGTAACCACTAATATATGTGTTGAGGGAGTGGACAAGGTGATGGCACAAAAGGATAAGGAGGTTTTGGTTTCACCGGACTCATTGCCACAGGTGGTTGGACATGATAATCTGGGGTCAGGAATGTGTTGATTGGCTTCAATGTGGTGGGTTTGTGAGAGGGTCTCTGTTAGAAACCTAATTCTAGGGTTCTAACGGTCGGATTGATGAGATTGAGAATTGCTAGATATTTAGGGATTGAGATAGAATTGGGGAAGAACAGAATTGGGGATTAGGGATTTAGAAGAGGAAATTGGGGATCGAGGAGAAGAATGGCCGGCGGCCTAGGGATATGAGACGAATTTGAGAGAGATTAGGGTTTGAGATACTTTTCTGAATAATTGTTCTTGCTTGATTGATAATGAAACCCAGATTACATATTTATAGGAAAGATAGGAAAACCTAATAATAAACCTAATTCTACTAAAAGACTACTAACCATATTTAATAAAACCTAATAATAATGATAATATAGAAATCCGTTTTCCTTAGAAAACGTGTTTCTAACATCCCATCCCCCTTGAGACCAACCTGGCCCTCAAGGTTGATCAGATTGATCCATTTCTTCAAGTCTATTGTGCAATCCACGTCTTGCCTCCTCCATTCTTGCGCTTTCTTTTCTTCCAATCGTGCTTCACTACTCGAATGTATCTCACGCCAACAACTCCGACTCCAATGACTTTTTCCTTATCCACGTGGCTACCGTCGTAGCCATAGCCTAATGGCTGTCCACCCCCCTTTCCAAAATCCATAAAGTAACTATCAGAGTGCTCATCTAAGCCCATAAATCCTTCTTTCTTCATATTCAAGCCCACACTATGTAAAAGAGATTCCATACGGCTTATATGAGGCTCATCTTCATTATTTAGTCTCTCTACTTGTCTGTGCGTACGCAGCCCAGGGCCCGTTCGTGCTAGCCCAGCCCGCCTATCTGTTCGGCCCAAGAACTCGAGCGTGGCCCGCCCGACTCGTTGCTGCTGTTGTTGCTCCACGACCCGGATTGCTTCCCTAGGGTTCTCGAGAAGAAGACTGCCGCCCTCCTTCCTGGCTGCCTCCCTCACCATCTTCGACCCAATTCTCGCCGTCAAGAACTCCCGCCGGCGGTTAGAAGTTGACCGGGCTTCCGACCTTCTCGGCTTCCTCTCCTCGCCGATCCACTCACCTGTCACTTCCTTCGGCAACGACTTCGTCGATTTTCG